AGAATGAAGTCCTTGACAACTTCAATCTTTTCTCCGTTGATAAGAATGTTTATTGGTCCAGTGGTGAGGATTTTTGTTTTCTTGACATTGAGATGTAATGCATACCGAAGGCTGTGCTCTTTGATCTTCATCAGTAAATATTTTAAGTCCTCTTCACTTTCAGCAAGCAAGGTTATTTCATCTGCATATTGCAGGTTATTAATGAGTCTTCCTCCAATTCTGATGCCACGTTTTTCTTCATATAACCCAGCTTCTCAGATTATTTGCTCAGCATAGGATAGCTATTTTGACCATTTGCATTCTATCGCTAGTAGAGATTTCAAAAGTAAGATTTAATATTGAAAAGTGATGAAGTTGGCAGACTAGGCAGGCGCACTACATGAATCATCTACAACAGATACAGAGCCCAAATGAAACAAAGAGGAAAATCCTGAAACCCTGAATTTAGAGAAAAGGTTAGAGAAGTAGATTGAGTGATTGCTAGGAGAAGAAGCTGAGAAGGGACAGCCAGAGAGTGACACTGACTGGTGAACGGCCAGCAAAATGTAGTGTAACCATCTTGAACTTTTGTGAGCAACTTTGGCTACAGAAGGTGGCCTAGCAGATCAGATTCATACAGCGGACAGAAAGGTGCAACTCCTTGTTTTTCCTTATGCTCTCCTGCTGAACAGAGGTGTGGCCAATTCCCACCCTCAGCCACCCTGATCTCCAGAAATTTGGTGCCCCATGGTTGTGAGCCATGACAGTGTTAAGCAGGGGCCAGCTGCACCACTTTGGTGTCTGGATTCAGGTCGGCTCAACTCCAGACCTAAAGAACCTGCAGAGCCACCAGACCATCGTTATTCTAGCAGAAACCTTCATAACCAGTCACCCTGCCCCCAGCTGCACTGTGGGCCTAACAGACACTGAAACTATCTCCCTCAAAGGCCTATATAAACTACTTCCAGATTGAGTGCCCTGAATAAAGATAACATAAATTGCCTGTAGAAACTCTATCTAGAACCAGAAACTCTGCTGTCACATTCCTTCCACAGCCCCTTGTGAGCTCATTGGCGGACGGAGAGCCCCAGATATTTTTCCTCTCTGGGTCCAATAGCTGCACTGCTTTTTGTTTTTGTTTTTTTTTTCTTTCATTGTTGTTGTTTGTTTATTCTTTCATCTCCTTTTACTCTTAATGATCCCTTGAATTTTTTCCTTTCTATCTCAGCTTTTGTTTTTCCTTCTGTTTTTCATTTCCCCTGTTATTATTTTGCTTTTGAGCTTTCTTAATTGCTCTCTAATCTTTCTCTTTTCATCTTCCCTTCTGGTTTTTATTCTTTTATTTTCTCTTTAATTCTTCTCTTCAACAGCTCCATTTTCCTATCACTCCTTTCTCTTTTTAGTTATGTTCTTTTATTCTGGTTGCTACCTGTTTTCATTTTTTTCTCCTTTACTATTTCTCTTTTCATTGTTGATTGCTTGTTTGTTTATTCTATTTTGTTTTCTTGTATGTTTGTGTGTTTTTGGAAGGAAGAGTTATCCTGCTTCCCACTTGGTGGTGGTAGTGATGGTGTGCTGTGGAGTCGGTTCTGACTCAAAGTGACCCTGTACAGGGTTTCCAAGGCTATAAATCTTTACGGAAGCAGAAACCCTCCTCTTTCTCCCACGAAACAGCTGGTAGTTTCGAACTGCTGACCTTGAGGTTCGCAGCCCAATTCATAACCACTACGCTACCAGAGCACCTTGATGATAGGAGACAAAATATAGCCCAGCTACAACATACGCTCTGCAGCTCCACCCATAAGGCAAAAGCTAATATCAGCTCCTATACCACCTGATCAATAATAGACATCAACCAACACTGGACAAACCCACACCAAACTTAGGTACATGGATGACAAATGGAGAATAGTGCACACATTTCCATTCTCTTACTACACCCACAGGAGACAGTACGAGCCTAAAAACACACTAACATATAATCACCAATTAAATACAACACTACAATGTCTCAGAGATAACAGACAATTTTAGGTCACACAAAGAACCAAGACAGAATGCCTCAAATGACCAAAATGCAGAGCCAGAAAAACGTTTCTAAGGAAGAAAAGATAATGAAACTGAAAGAGAATTCAAAAGAATGATACTTAGGTACTTTCAAAAAGGACTGACAGAATGATCAAGTAAAGCAAGAACACAGAAAAAACATTAAAAGAATTCAGGAAAATACTACAAGAACAAACAGACAAAATAAATGCAAATTTTGAGATAATACAAAACCTGCTATTATAAATCCAGAAAATTAATACTAAAATTTCAGAAATGGGCAATATTGAAAAGGCCAAGAGTATATTCAATGCAATTGAAGTCCAACTTAATGAAATTGAGATAAATTTCTCAATACTAACATGCTAAAAGAACAACCAGTAAAAAGAATTATAACAATCCAACGAGAGCCAAATAGTTATGTGGGATACCATGAAGA